GAATAGAATAGAATAGAATAGAATAGAATAGAATAGAATAGAATAGGAATAGAATAGAACAGAGTGAGAAGGGACCTTGGAGGTCTTCTAGTCCAACCCCCTGCTTCGACAGGAAACCCTATACCATTTCAGACAAATGCCTGGGACCCAAGTGGTCTGTGTTAACTATGCATGCCCAAATCTTTGGATAGTTTCAAAAACTAGATTTCCCCCCCCACGCCCAAGCAATCGGTTAGGATGCTGGATGGTGAGCGTTTCTCAAGAACGGGTTAGAGTTCTGAATATCTGGTTTTGGGGACCTCTCAGTTTGCAGTGTTACATATTGCATTGTTGGGGTTTTATGTTTATTGTTCATCTCTGTTTCTTAATCCTCTTTTGGCTACCCAGAGTCACAGTTTGTGACTTGGGCGGTCTTATCGATTGCACAAATAAACGTTTCAAAGTCAATCTGAGGGGTGATTCTAGGTCTTCCGTCCTAAAATTCCCCCTTGGCCATCCCATATCCTGTAGCATCAAAGTATATTTATGTGCCCAATGAAGTACGGTAGAACAAGCCGACTTTGGTCACCCTAGATGGGATTTATAGGATCGGCCATCTACGGAGAGCATTAGATTATGGAAAGATTAAACCGTGCTCAACTTGCCTTTTTATTCTGCTTTTTCCAGCTTACAAAGAGAAAATGAAGGAACTCTCTCTGCTTTCGCTGATCTGTTCCTGTTTTCACACCCAGCCGCATCCAAATACCATCTACCAGTATGGAGGTAAGTGGCCCACATGCCTTACAACCTGCCGAACCACAAACTGGTCCCTTGAATTGCTAACTAGGGCATACAAAACCTTTGCTAGACCAATGCTCAAATGCAGCTCATCCGTCTGGAATCCACACTGTATATCGGACATCAATACAATCGAGCGAGTCCAGAAGTATTTCACGAGAAGAGTCCTACACTCCTCTGCTCGCAACAGAATACCCTACACCACCAGGCTTGAAATTTTGAGCTTGGACAACCTTGAACTATACCGCCTACAGTTGGTCTTAAGCGTAGTACCCAAAATGATCCACTACAATGTCCTTCCTACCAGTCAATGACTACTTTCAGCTTCAGCCACAACAATACAAGAGCACACAACAGATACAAACTCAAGGCAAACCGCTCCAAACTCAACTGCAGAAAGTAGTGGTCAATGTCTGGAATGCACTACCTGACTGTTGTTACGTCCTCTAACCCCCTCACTCCTTTAATCTCAGACTATCCATTATTGACCTCACCCCATTCCCAAGAGGTCTGTAAGGGGGCGTGCGTAAGTGCACCATCGTGCCTCCCGTCCCTGACCTATTGTCCCCATTCATTCGTAACCTTTTTCCGGTACTCTTACTCGTGTTTATACTTATACCTACTATCCTGTAAGCGATTGACAAATCAAATAAATAAATAAACAATTCCCCTTGCTGGTTCAAGGAGGGAAACGAACACATGGAAGACCAACTGCAGAAGACAGGTATAAATCATTGCGATTTCAGGTGGGATACATACATTCACGTCTTTCCTGAACCAGCTGCCACCTTGTCTGAGGCCCAGGCTGGGCCTAACTGAGTTATGATTAATGAAGGAATGAATTTATTGAGGAAAACAACATTCACCACATGCTGCTTTGAGCGTGCAAAGGGTCCATCCATCAAACAAACCGGGAAACTGCAAATAGTGCCTTGTGCTCATACGAGAGAAGCCACCGCTGCAGGAAATGAAGAGGCAGACACGCTGGTTCCACTGTCTGTTAGAGTCTATTCTGATTAGGTTCTCCGATTCCCCCGGGACTCATCCAATCTGCAATTTAGCTGACACAAGTAGCAACAGGGAGAGGCTGTTTTTCTGCCCTGCTTTGAAGAAGGTCTTGCGTTGGTTTGCTAAGGTTCCCATTTATTTATTATTAACTAACTAGATTTTTATCCCACCTTTATTTTTTTATATAAATAACCCAAAGCAATGAGCATCTCTAATACTCCTTCTTATCCTGTGAAATGGGATTGGCTGAGAGATTGACTGTCACAAATTTGCCCAGCTACCCATTCATGCAGTACTAGAATTCACAGTCTCTAGGTGACTCACCCAAAGTCACCAAACTGGCTTTCATGCCTAAAGCGAGATTAGAATTCGCCACCTCCTGCAGATTGGCTGAAAGTTATCCATCCTAAGAAAGGCAGGATTAGAACTCGCCGTCTTCCCAATTGTAACCTGGGGCCTTAAATATTAGACCAAGCCGTCTGTCTGATAAATAAAACAAGCCACATTTGGCTGGTCTTCCTCAGGAGGATAGCTCTAGGTTTTAAAAAGCACAGTGGAAAGATTCAAAAATAATCTAAGGATTTTCACACATATATTAATACAACCACTGATTTATGATGGAAAGAAGAGAGTTAATTCCCTTAAGTAAGAGTTAAGAACAAACACAATGAAGTTCCAGATGACCGCAGGGGAGTAAATGCATCTTCAAAAAGCCATTTATGGAGATTGTCACTCATCTAGGTCATAGTTGCCCCAAAGGTGCTTTTTCCAAAGGCAACTGGACTTTATTTTTGCTTGAAGACTTTTCACTTCTCATCCAAGAAGCTTCTGCAGTTCTGAGTGAATGGTGGAGGATGGAAGGATGTATATTCCTTGCAGTCATCTAGTGGTTGGTATTCTCTCTGAGAGTTGTTGAGGCCACTTGGAGGTTGATCTGTACCCTGGGGGGTCACTTGAATAGTGCAAATGGGTGTGGAGCCTTCTTGGGACAGCTGAAAGGACTATGTTGTAGACTGGAGATAGATGTTGTGGTCCACCAGCGGCCAGCGGAGCTGGCGGCAGACTTGGATGATGAGGAGGTCCTTGGGCCGGTCCTGGAGTCTGGGGAAGGCTCTGATGGATGCTCTGTGTCAGATAGGGCCAGGGCTGTCTGACATTTCCCAGTTGCCTACAGAATCAGAGATAAGTGGGGAAGAAGAGCAGCTGGAGCCTGTTCCAGATGTGTGTATGCGCGGAGCTGTCAGGAGAGAACAATTAAGCAACAGAGGACAACGCTGAATGGCCCCTCCCTGGGGAATAAATAGAAGCAAAAAGGGAGTGGTGGTTGCAGGAGACAATTAGTTCGTATTTCTTTTGGAAGATTTGCTTATCAGAGTTCGTGCCTCACAGACTCCTTGCCAGGTATTTAATTTGCAGGTGACTGGAAACTCTCGGCCTGGCAACTATGCAAGGCCTATTTTTGCAATTAACCGCTGGGAGGATTATTGCTGGGATTTTTCTGTGTGTGAATGCCATGAATTCACAGTAACTAAATAAAGAGGGTTTTTTGGGGACAAGGAGTCTGTTTCTTGGTTCTGCTAAGCCTGGGTCAGAACAATAGATGATGCCGTGTCCCTCTCCTTCTGTTGAGAGAGGGCTGTAAATGGCCTCTTTGACCCCCTCTTTCAAACCAGCGGTCCTCTCTGTCCAGAATGTGGACTCAACAACTCCCAGAAAGAGTACTAATGACCAGATGACTGCAAGGAATATACATCCTTCCATTCTCCGCCATTCAGTCAGAACTGAAGAAGCTTCTTGGATGAGAAGCGAAATGTCCTCAAGGAAAAACAAGAAAGTCCAGTTGCCTTTTGCAAAAGCCCCCTTGGGACATCTTCAAAAAATGGTGAAAAGGCCAACCAACTTTAGACCAATCAGTTCAGATGTGATAATTGCATTGAGAGTTAATGTCTCCCACAGCAGGAAAACTCCTGTGATGTCAACAGCCAACTGCCGCCTACTAGAGTAGACTCCACAGGGAGGACACGGAGAGAGAGAGTGATGCAAGCATTGTCACAGCATCGCAAGACACACCCCTTGTGTGTGTGTGTGTGTGTGTGTGTGTGTGTGTGTGTGTTGCAGCACTGCCTCTATAAGCTTAAGAGAACCAGAGCTTGCAGTAACTTTGCAATCATGATTTCATCATTCTTGAAGCCAGGGCACACCGCTGGCCTCACATTAAATCAGAGAAAGGCAAAGGAAAATGCTTGTTAAGCTTTGGGAATGGTGGAAGGAAGTAGCATCCGTATAAGTAGTCCTCGACTTACGGCAGCTTGTTTAGTGACCGTTCGAAGATACAACAGGAAAAAAGTGACTTATGGCTGCTTTTTATACTTTTGACCGTTGCAGCATCCCCGTGGTCACGTGATCAAAATTTGGCCGCTTGGCACCCTATTCGTGTTTATGACGGTTACAGTGTCCCAGGGGTCACGCGATCCCCTTTCACGACCTTCTGACAAACAAAGTCCACGGGGAAGCCCGATTCACTTAACAACAGTGTTACTCACTTGACAACTGCAGTGATTCACTTACGAACTGTGGCAAGAAAGTTCGTGGAAGGAAGCAAAACTAGATGAACAACTGTTTCGTAGAGCAAGAGAAATTTGGGGCTCAGTTGTGGTCGTAACACGAGGACTACCTGTAGTTGACTGAGAAAGCCCACGAGTCAGCAGAGTGATGTAAGCTGCCTCAACAGGAGTATAATTTCGGACTTGCGGGGATTTACTCTTCCGCTGTTTTTGGTGGGACTCCATCCCAAGTCCTGGATCAGGTTTCTGTGCAGAGCATTTAACGACAAATTCAGAGGACAGATTCAGAAAACAAAGTAATGAAGATGTGATTAAGCCCTACGGGGAAAGAGCCAGGAGAAAATAGCCTCGAGGAAAAAGTGACTAAGGATGGTTACAAGAACACCCTTCAAAGTCTAGAACAGACGCCTTACGGGAGTTCATGCTCCAGACTGTAGAACCGTGAGGGTGAACCTTGGGAGGCTGAAAATGGGCCAGTATTTCCGGAAGGCCCGTTTTTCGGCCTCCCGAGGCTGCAGAGGCTTCCCTCAAGCCTCCCGGAGAGCGAAAACGGCCTCAAACGGGTCAAAAATCAGCTTGGAGGTGCGTGTGTGCATGCACAGTGCAGGTAAGGGAGCGGGGCAGGGGTATTGCGCATGCATGCACAGAGGGGGCAGTACGCATTGCATTGTGGGTGCCATCACATGTACTTGCGTGCTTTTGGCACACCACAACAAAAAGGTTTGTCACCACTGCTTTAGAACATGGAACCAGGGAATTAAATTACAAGAATTAAATTACAGACGTGCTCTTAGTGTGCTATCAAGGATTCCTCTCTTTCTTCTTGTGCTAGCAATTTATTTCCTTCCTTCCTTCCCTTACTCTCCTTCCCTCCCTCCCTTTCTTCCCAACACACATTCACTCACAACCAAGATATTGATAGATATAGGGACAACAATTGGATCTGCTCCTTTTCTCACCACGTTAGAAACTTTGGGTCCTGATAGAAGATAATTTATAGTAGATTCTGTAATAGTTTTGTTTCTTAATCTTGTCTTGTAAATTCGCAGGATTCTTTTTCACCATGTATATGTATACATTCGAACTAGACTGTGGTGTTTTTCTATGTCATATACTGTATGTGTGTGTGGGTATATGTATAATGGTTATCTTTTGAGAGCTGAATGCAATGAAATTTCATTTTAATATATGCTGATTAGTCTACATTTAAAGTGACAATAAAGTTTCACTCTACTCTACTCTACACTCTACACTCTATGCCCTAGTCTAGTCTAATCTAATTTGCAGCTCAGGGTTGAACTGGGGTGGTGGTCCTTGGTGCCCTCTGAGCTTGGGGGCTTTTTTATAGACATCTCATTACCAATCTAGACAATATCATCAGTGAGCTGATTATGTTACCTAGTTTGTTAATGAAAAGTCTTCAAGAAAACTACCAAGCTCAGAGAGCACCAAGGGACTCATTTAGGGTCCTCCACTGAAATTCTGTGTAGTCCAGGACCCATAAAACGATTTACACTAAGTGTAGCTAAATACTACAAGTTCACTGCCATTAGACATTATAATGGTCTTTTTTAAAAAAAGGCCTGGATAGATTATCAGGCTTAAGTAGGGTGATTGTTACTAGCTTGATCAGTGGTTTGTTTTTTTTACTTTGCTTCTATGCTAGCCATTCCCACACAGGTAGCTCCACCTGAATCTTGTATCTTTCCTTTTATGTACACTGAGAGCATTTGCACCAAGACAAATTCCTTGTGTGTCCAATCACACTTGGCCAATAAAGAATTCTATTCTATTCTCTCTTAAATTGCTTATCCCAAAAATCAGCTCTTAGAGAGAAATACTGAAAAATGGCTATTGGCCACCAACTCAGGTTTATGATAAACCTTCGTAGATTCAGCAAAGGACAGTTCACATTTTTAACTGGGTTTGAGCAACTTGTCAGTAGTCTGTTGGATCCATCACAGGCAACACTGGATGCATAATTCAACATCAATTTGACAGCCTATTTATATAGTGGGTAGCTTTTTTATCAATATAAATTTCATTGGTTTCCTGTGAGCGTTCAGAATGAACTTATCTATGCAACTAACAGAACTGGGTTCATTGGTTATGGAGAAAGACACATTTAAATACTTTGGTGATGGATTCTTGACTAGATGGGAGAGAACTAAGTGAGGACGGTGAAGAAAGAATGAATCTATTGATGAGCACCACTATTACTATTAATCTTCTCATCACTCCTATCACCAATCCCTTCCCACCTGTGACTGTATGACTGTAACTTTGTTGCTTGTATCCTTACGATTTTTATGGACTGCTTCCTAGTATGATTTCATTGCTTATTGTACCCTATGACTATCATTGTTGTACCTGATGATTCTTGACTCTTGATGAATGTATCTTTTCTCTTATGTACACTGAGAGCATTTGCACCAAGACAAATTCCTTGTGTGTCCAATCACACTTGGCCAATAAAGAATTCTCTATTCTATTCTATTCTATTCTTTTCTTATTCCTATTCTATTCTATTCTTATTTCTATTCTATTCTACTCTTATTCTATTCTTATTCCTATTCTATTCTATTCTTATTCCTATTCTATTCTAATTCTTATTCTTATTCTATTCTTATTCCTATTCTTATTCTATTCTTTTTCCTATTCTATTCTATTCTATTCTATTCTATTCTATTCTATTCTATTCTATTCTATTCTATTCCTATTCCTATTCCTATTCCTATTCCTATTCCTATTCTAATTCTATTCTGAATAAGGACCAGAAATGATGCCACAATACTTCTCAGGAAATCTGACCCCTAACCCTTCTCCCTTGCTCAGATATGGAGGTCAAGCAATTGGACAAGAGGGCTTCTGGCCAGAGCTTTGAGGTGATTTTGAAGTCGCCCTCTGACCTGTCTCCAGAGAGCCCCGTCCTCTCCTCTCCCCCCAAGAAGAGGGACCTGTCCCTGGAGGAGCTGCAGAAGCGATTGGAAGCTGCTGAAGAGAGGAGGAAGGTAAGGGGAGCTCTACAATGGCCCAGGCATTGCTGACGGACACTTCCCCAAATTTATCTTCAGGCAAATCCTCACAATTCCCCCGGGGGTTGCAGCAGCTAAAAAAAAAAACCCACGTGCTGATGAATATCTGGGGAAATCCTTGGGACCCTAGGCCTGGGATTTCTCTGAAATACTGTACAGTATGTATCCAGGCAGAAATCTGACCAGGAAATTCCAATCAAAACCATATATACGTTACTACCGTTTGATCATTAAGCGCTTAACATGGTTAACAATTGGCACAGGAGAGAATGTTTGTAGCTCTGGGCTGAACTGCAAGCACCCTTGGTGACCCCCGGAGCTGGATTGTTTGCTTGCAGGCATTTCTTTACCGAAGTAGGTTACATCATCAGTGCTAGAAGGGAGTGGGGTTGGAGGAGGAGGAGGGGGAGGAGGACTGTGGGGTCCTTGCTACTCTCTTGAGTTCGATTGTTTTCTTGGTTCGTTATGCAGACTAGGTAACATCTTCAGTGCTAGAAGGAAGTGCGGGAGGAGGAGGAGGACTGTGGGGTCCTTAGTACTCTCTGAGCTTGGTGGTTTTCTTGCAGACATTCCATTACAGAAGTAGGTTACATCATCAGGGCTAGAAGGGAGTGGGGTTTGAGATGGAGGAGGAGGAGGAGGAGGAGGAGGAGGAGGAGAAGGAGGAGGAGGAGGACTGTAGTGTCCTTGGTAGTCTTAGAGCTTGGTTGTTTTCTAGCAGACATTTCATTACCCAACTAGGTAACATCATCAGGGCTAGAAGGGAGTGAGATTTGCTTTTTTTGTGCATACAGTATACAAGGAGCTTGCCTTGTCAGTGTTGGTGGGAATGTTCTCAGTGCTTCCTTGATTAGGAGGAAAAGCACAACAAGCACACACAAACATACTATACGGGGAATTACATGGGGAATTCTGGGAGTTGAAGTCCACAGGTCTTCAAGTCGCCAAGTTTGGAAACCCCCGATCTACGTCAAGTCAAGGACTACCCGTCCTCTGATCTAGGAGAGCCAGATGTTGTGATTGTCTCCCAGGCTTAAAAAAAAGAAGAAATCCACTGTAATGATGCTGCTGGGACAGCAGCTTCCCAGATGTTTGTTGGCTACCCAAGAGCTCCTGAATCGCTCCTGAAATTAAATTATGGGTTTCCTTGCAGAACCAGGAAGCTCAAGTCCTGAAGCAGCTTGCAGAGAAGCGGGAACACGAGCGGGAAGTGCTACACAAGGCTCTGGAAGAGAACAACAACTTCAGCCGGCTGGCTGAAGAGAAGCTCAACTACAAGATGGAGCTCAGCAAGGAGATCCGCGAAGCTCACCTAGCTGCCTTGAGGGAGAGACTCCGCGAAAAGGTAAACGCGCCGACAAATCCCAGCAGGACAGGCCTTTTGGCCTTAAGCTGCCCCTGTCGTGAGGGCTGCGGGTAAAGACAAAATATTAGATCACAGCAATTTGTGCAAGAGACGCGGTGGCTCAGGGGCTAAGACGCTGAGCTTGTCGATCCGAAAGGTTGGCAGTTTGGCGGTTCGAATCCCTAGCGCCGCATCACGGAGGGAGCTCCCATTCCTTGTCCCGGCTTCTGCCAACCTAGCGGTTCGAAAGCATGTAAAAAAATGCAAGTAGGAAAATAGGGACCCCTTTGGTGGGAAGGGAAGAGCATTCCGTGCGCCTTCGAAGGCGTTTAGTCATGCCGGCCACATGACCACGGAGACGTCTTCGGACAGCGCTGGCTCTTCGGCTTTGTAACGGAGATGGGGCAGCGCCCCCTAGAGCCGGAAACGACTAGCACGGATTTGTGAGGGGAACCTTTACCGTTATATGTGCCTCAGTGGCACAGTGGTTAGAGTGCAGTACTGCAGGCTACTGTTGACTGCCGGCTGCCTGCAACTGGGCAGTTCAAATCTCACCAGGCTCAAGGTTGACTCCGCCTTCCATCTTTCTGAGGTTGGTAAAATGAGGTCCCAGGTTGTTGAGGGTGATAGGCTGACTCTATCAACTGCTTAGAGAAGACTGTAAAGCACTGTAAAGCGGTATATAAGTCTAAGTGCTATTGCTAATATGTAACTGTCAATATGGACGCCAACTGGGGCCGTGGGTAGGACACACCTGGTGGGGGAAAGTGCCCTGGAATGAACCCAAGATCTTAACCATTAAAGGAGAATATTTGTAGCTCAGAGGGGTCCTTGGTGCTCTCTGAGCTTGGCTGTTTTCTTGCAGCCATTTCATTACCCAACTACTAGCACTGATGATGTTACCTAGTTTGGGAAATGAAATGTCTGCAAGAAAACGACCAAGCTCAGAGAGCACCAAGGACCCCTCTCTTCTCAATTATACCCAACATGCTTTGTTGAATTTCAGATGCGTGGACTTCAACTTCAACTTGGGAAGTTCTGGGAGTTGAAGTCCACAAATCATAAAAGTGCCCGTTTTTGAGAGAAAAAAAATGCTCTAAGATGAAGAGGAGGCATGTTTCCTGACCTCTCTGCCTCTCCCAACTTTCCATCCACAGTCCCATGGGAGTAGAGGCAGTCCTTGACTTACAGCAGTTCATTTAATGACTGTTTGAAGTTACTGAAAAAAGGGACTTAGGACCGTTTTTCACCCTTACGAGCAGGAGTGGGATTCTACCAGTTTGCACCTATTCGCTGGAACCGGTTGTTAACATTCTAAGCAGTTCGGAGAACCGGTTGTTAGAAGAAATTACTGGGCTAATCCTGTAAGGAAGGCAGGAAGGAAACATTCTGGTGTTGCTTACAGAAACTGCCTCTCCGTTAAGCCTTATTACATTATTGGCAGGACTAGACTTCCTGTCTCGGGAACTTCTCTGGAGTTTTTTCCCCACTCCTTTGCTGGTACTTTGCTTGCGTGGAGTGACCATTCCAAGTTACAATGGCACTGAAAAAAATGACTTATGACCATTTTTCACACTTACGACTGTTGCAGCATCCCCACAGTCATGAGAGGCCAGGAGAGGAGAAGTGTGCCTCGATGTGAGTGTTATTGAGTTGGCCACACCCAGCCAATAATATGACCACCAAGCCATGTCCACCCAGTCACATGACCACCAAGCCACGCCTACCACCAAAGCCATGCCCACAGAACCGGTTGTTAAAAAATTTGAATACCACCCCTGCTTATGACCATGGCAGCATCTCCATGGTCAGGTGATCAAAATTCAGACTTTTGGCAACTGACTCATATTTTTGACAGTTGCAGTGTCCCAGTGTCACATGATCCCCTTTTGCGACCTTTCGACAGGCAAAGTCAATGGGGAAGCCAGGTTCACTTAACAGCCGTGTTACTGCGATGACCCGGGGCATGACACAAAAATAACAAGTCACAAAAGTAGAATAAATTCCCTTTAATGCCTCCAACTTGGCTCCAATGTCCAATTATCCTCGACTGGATAACAAACTCTTCAAAAAACAGTTTACAAAGGGCAGAAATGCAGTCTGAGCCCAAAGTAAAGATAATTAGAAATAAAAAACCAACACACAAACCACACTGAAGTAATTAACATGGCAGGCCAGGATGATAAATTGCAGACTTTCAAAGAATAACGTGGCACCCACAGTTGGGAGGATGCCAAAACCCAGATAAGACATGACAAACAAAGATAAAGCAGGCTTTGCTTCCAGAAAGGTGCTGTGCACAAACACCCTTTATTATCCTGTTCTCCCAGCTGCAGCTAATGAAGGGAATCAGGGCCCTTTTCTCCCCCATAAGCCACTTTGCTCCCTTCTCCGTTCCTCCCTGCATGCCCTAGAATGAAGAAGGGGTGGACCTGGGTCTTCCTCTGAATGCCCAGCCGGACTGTGCCCTTCCCCAGTTTCCTCCACAGCCACCGGAGCCACACTCCCACTCCCTGTCTGCTGTTCGACCTCCCCCTCAGAATCCAACTCCAACAAGGGCATGACAGTTACTAACTTAACTGCAGTGATTCACTTAACAACTGTAGCAAGGAAAATAGGGCAAAACTCGCTTAACAGCTGACTCGCTTAGCAACAGAAATGTTGGGCTCAGCTGTGGTCGTAAGTCGAGGACTACCTGTAATGTGTGTGAAGATGGGCGATCCTGCCACCGAGGTGTTTATCCCTGCAAACTCCTGTGCTGCGTTTCACACACCTATTATCACTTCCATCTTTTTCAGGAACTGCACGCAGCCGAAGTGCGCCGAAACAAGGAACAACGGGAAGAGATTTCTGGATAAGTGGCTTTTCTACACAGCTAACACCTGCTTCCTAATAACTAACCCACCGATCCCAACTTCTTTTTTAATTTTAATTTTTTAATTTTGTCTAGACAGGGCAACGTCTGTTTTCTCAGTTTTCTTTTCCTTTCCCCCGCCTTTCCCTCTCCCCCAACGCGCTCCGGTGTACAAGCTCCATGTCTTTCTCCTCTCTGTATCTTTTAACATGGAGGTTCATAGAGACCTCCCAGCCGACTCGCCATTTGTCGAACCTTGAAATAATAGCATCCATCAAATCCGCTTTTTTTTTTTTCCTTTGAGCTGTTCGGAACAACCAAACGCAAACCATTTAATGCACAAGAACGAAGAGGAAAAACTTCGCTAGGTGTTTGGCTGCGTTGCGAAAGGCTGCCTCTCTATGAACCCCCATCGATCTGATTATTCTCCAACCCTAACTCCCCTAATTCATCCCTCTCCTACCCCTCCAGCCAAGGAGACTGATAAAAAGAGGACTCTTCCTCTGCCAAGGCCTATCTCACACACACACACTCTATGCTGAAGGAAAACATCTTGAGTTAAGTGCACGCTGCAAATGGGAAAAGCAACTTTCTGTTTGCAAACAAGGGGGAACGGAAGGGTACGCACACATCCGAACCCCCGTTTGTGGTGGGTTTTTCCTCCTCCGTCCCGGAGGTTTGCCTGGGAGGGGAAAATTTAAAAAAATACCTTACGAGGTCCCTGCTTTCTTGGTGAGGAAAGTTACAACTGGATAGTTGATGGGTTCGATTAAGAGACACCTTTTTTGCTTCCTTGATTGATTTACAGGAAAGGGAGAATCATTTCAAGAGGACGTTAAAAAAAAAAAAACACAACCCAAAGAGCAGGCAGGAAACGTTGCCCTATCCAACCTCAAACCCTTTTAGACTGAATGGTGTGATCCAGATTTTTGTGGGAATAGGGGGTGGCATAGAGGCTGACTGTAAACTGCTTAGATAGGGCTGTAAAGCACCGTGAAGTGGTATATAAGTCTAGGCCTAATGGCTATTTTCCAAAGTCTCTCTCTCTCCCCGCAAGGTTTAAGGACCGCGGGACAGCAGAGTCATTGGATGTGATGTGTGGTCATTGGCATTGCACAGCAGGAAAGGGGCTTGGTTAGAAAGTGGCCAACAAGGTCTTGGGCTAAACATTGTTCCCTGGAGATGTTAAGCTAATTTTTCTCTGAAGAGGGGAAAGGGTCTCGTTTGAAACTCCACTTTGCCTCGCCCGGCCCTACTAGCTATATTTTCAAAGAGGATGGATTGAGTTTCCCTCAAGCATTTCCAGTGTGAAAAGTCCTTTTGCCTGAGGAATTTGTGACCATCAGAAAGAAAGATCCGCAGAAAGAGGGGTAGAAATAGAGTCAAGATCGCGTCAAGTGTTGGTACCACTTTGTAACGCCTGGGGGAGACCCCGTCATTTTGTGTTGTAGGAGGCTCACTGTAGCAAAAGATACAAGAATGGGATAACGTCGGTCTCAGTTAAGTGGGGTCGGGGGGGGGCTGTCTCAAAGTAAGGATTGAGAAACATAAAGAAAACGGGTGAAGTTTGCAGCATTAACAGAACGCTAAAGGCAGCAAGTATCGAAAGTAGAGTGTTTTATGAGTAATTTTGAACCATTGAAAAAGTCGGTAAGAGCTGATCATTCCTTTATTATTATTATTTTTCCAAACTGGATCAGGTAAATCCCCAATTTAGAATGGCAAAATATATCAATCAGGTGTGACTGTTACTCTTATTCCACCACCACCCCCGCCATTTTCAGCTCATCTTTCAGTTTGCAGCATACTTATAAGAACAATAAGAATAATAAACACCAAGAGAATAAAAGGCTTATTTAAATTGCAAGGAAAGCGCCCGGGAAAAAACAACAGATGGTCGTCCCACCTTTGCCAGATCCAAAATGTCTGGTATGGATATAGGTCTTAGGAAGGCAGGCTGTTTAGGTGTGCAGAAGTTTCTAGTCCCCATGGTGGATGTTTAATGTAGTCAAAGCAACAGATCAAATATAAGAATGACTGTTTTTTCCAATGGATCTTTGCAGGGCCCCGACATTTTAACCCAAATATAAGGAGGAATTTTTTTGCACTGGCTCTTCCAAGGGGTTGTCATTGTGTTGGGTGAAATGGGAGAGTTCTAGTATTAATTTGATATTCTGGCAAGTTGGACTCTGAGTCATGTTGGCAAATTGGTCAACCTGGGCTGTTGAATGGCTGTGAGATTAGAACTCTTTGGTTAGCGAATTATGCTGTGGGGATGGTAATAATATCAGTGTTTTTCAACCTTGGGCACTTTAAGACAGGTGGACTTAAACTCCCAGAATTCCCCAGCCAGCATGGCTGGCTGGGGAATTCTGGGAGTTGACATCCATTTGTCTTAAAACAACCAAGGTTCGGAAACACTGATAATATGTTGGTTCACATCACTGTCATTAACACCACCACCATCACCCGGGGGAAAGAAATCCGTTCTGAGATGTAATTTAATACAGGTTATCCTCTTGGATCAGACCAGGTTTCATCTTAGTTCAGCATTATCTTTCTCCTAGGTGTTCACAAGGAAATGGAGCCTGAAATTCTCCCCTTGTTGGCTCCTTTGCAATTGGTATTTGGAGGCAGGTGACTTCTAGCCTGGAGATTAGACAGTCCTCAAGACCAGAGGCTGTGGCTGCTTCATCACTGGAGGTTTTTAAGAAGAGACTGGACAGCTGTTTGTTGAGAATGGTATGGGGTCACCTGCTTGAGCAGGGGGGTTGGATTAGAAGGTCCCTTCAAACTCTGTTATTCTGTGCCTCTTGATAGACTACTTCTCCATTATATTGTTTTCCATTCTCTTTAAAAGACATCCAAGTTAGTGGCCACCTCTATATCTTTTCATAATTCAACAGATTTTTTTAGGCACTGCGGTTGGCAAAAGGCAGCTTGTTTTTCCTTTTCCTGACCTTTTGTTTAAATAATTAGAAGTAATTCCCGTGGAGCTCAAATATTACTTCATTTGATTAGGGTTAATATGTAATACTGTGTAGAGTTCTTCTGTAATCCATAGGTTGCAGTCTCAGTTTTCCCAAGTCTACAAATCAGGTTTCATTTTCTAAGCCAAATGATTTTGGGAAGGCAGGAACCAAGCTCTACGTGTCTGCAAAAGTACCACCTTTCAGTGCCCTTGCTCAGAAGAGAGACAAGAAAAAGAAAGAAAGAAAGAAAGAAAGAAAGAAAGAAAGAAAG